TAAATTCAACATCTGACACCCGGAGAATTCAAAATTTCTTTCTCAAAAGACTTTATAAGACCTCCTTAATGAGTAGTAGAACCTTCACGTATACTCACACCACTTTTTAGTGTTCATTTCTGCATCAGTTTGTTTAGAAATATTCACATTAAAGAAATTAATGGGTTTTATAGCACACGAAAATCGGTAAAATCTGCCTTTGCCTTTTTTGGGACTTGTTTGTACTTGAAAATACACCATTTTTTCCCGGGGAAGAAACTTGTTCATTTCAAAGGTATTAACGGACGTCCATGAAAAATTTCGTCCATTTTATTTAGGGATTTCCGTATCAAAAAAAATTCATGGTTAGCACGAAAATTGGTAAAATCAGTCTTTCCCTGCTTGGGACTCGTTTGAATTTTAATATGCACCATTTATCCTTGGGGGAGGAACTGTTTCCATATCTAAGGTTTTAACGGACGTCCATGAAAAATTTAAACCATTTTATTTCAAGATTTCTGGATAAAAAAAAATGGGCTATAGCACACGAGAATCAGTAAAATATGTCTTTGCCTATTGTATGGTTCGTTTGAACTTGATAATGCACTCATTTTTCCCGCGGGGCGAACTAGTTCCATTTCTTAGGTTTTAACGAACGTCCATGAAAATTATCGGCCATGTTGTTTTAGAATTTCATGATAAAAAGATACATGGGCTATAACATATGAAAATTGGTAAAATATATTTTAACCTACTTTGAGGCTCGTTTGAACATGGAATTGAACCATTTTTCTCCGTTGGACGAACTGGTTCACTTTCTAATGTCTTAACGGATGTCCATGAAAATTTTTGACTATTTTATTTTCAAATTTCCAGATTAAAACATTCATAGGCTATAACACACGAAAATTGGTAAAATCTTCCTTTGCATGTTTTAGGACTCGTTTAAACTTGAAAATGCACCATTTTCCCCGCAAGATGAACTAGTTTCATTTTTAAGGTCTTAACGAATGTCCATGAAAAATTTCGGTCATTTTGTTTCGAGATTTTCATATCAAAATATTCGATAGGCTAAAATCGGTCTTTGCCAGCTTTGGAGCTCGTTTGAACTTGAAAATGCATCATTTTCCCCGCGGGACGAACTGATTCCATTTCTCAAGTCTTAACGGAAGCCCATGAAAATTTTTGTCATTTTGTTTAGGAATTTCCGAATAAAAAAATTTATTGGATATAGCACACGAAAATCGATAAAATCTGTCTTTGTCTGCTTTGGGGATCATTTGAATTTGAAAATGCACCATTTTCCCCCGCAAGATGAACTGATTTTATTTCTAAGATCTTAACGGACAACCATGAAAAATTTCGGTCATTTTCTTTAAGATTTTCGAATTAAAAAAATTCATGGGCTATAACACACAAAAGATGGTAAAATCTGCCTTTGTCTGTTATGGGATTTGTTTGAACAAGAAAATGCATTATTTACCCCAACGGGACGAAATTGTTCCATTTCTAAATTCTTAACGGACGTCTATGAAAATTTTTGGTCATTTTATTTTGGGATTTCTGTATTAAAAAATTCATGAGTTATACCACATAACAATTGATAAAATTTGTCTTTTTCTGCTTTGAGACTCCTTTAGACTTGAAAATTCATTATTTTTCTCGCGGGACGAACTGGTTTCATATCAAAGGTCTTGACGGACGTTCATGAAAATTTTTTGGCCTCTTTATTTCAAAATTTCTAGATAAAAAAATTCATGGGCTACACATGAAAATTGGTAAAATCTTTCTTTACCATTTTTTGAGATTATTTAAACTTGAAAATGCACTAATTTTCTCCGCGGGACGAATTGGTTCCATTTTTAAAGTTAGTGGACTTCCATGAAAAACTTCGGCTATTTTGTTTTAATATTTCTGGATATAAAAAAATTCATCGGCTATAGCACACAAATATGGTAAGATTTGCCTTTGCCTAATTTGTGGCTCATTTGAACTTGAAAATACATCATTTTCATAGTGAGACGAACTAGTTTCATTTCTAAGGTCTTAATGGAAAATCATGAAAAAATTTGGCCATTTTTATTTGGGATTTCTGTATCAGAAAAAAAATCATGGGCTATAGTACAGGAAAATCAGTTAAATCTACCTTTGCCTGCTTGGTCTCGTTTTTTAACTTTAAAATGCATCATTTTTTTCTCATGGAACTAACTAGTTCCATTCCTAAGGTATTATAGATGTAGTTGAAACATTTCGGCCATTTTGTTTCAAGATTTTCAAATTAAAAAAATCGACAGGCTATAATACATGAAAATGGTAAAATTTGTATTTGCCTGATTTGGAAAAATTTTGGAATTTTTATTATGAGATTTTTGGATTAAAAAAATTCATGGGCTATAGCATACGAAAAACAATAAAATCTTCCTTTTTCTGCTTTGTGACTCGTTTATACTTGAAAATGCACTATTTTTCATTGTGGGATGAATTGGTTTCATTTCTAAAGTCAAATGAACCCCGAGAAGGCAAACCTCTCATTTTACCAATTTTCTTGTACTATAGTCCTTTTTTTTTCTGATCCAAAATTCTGACGTCTTTTTTGCCCTATCTTTTGCGGACGTCTGTTACGACGTTGATAAGGAGCCAGTTGTCTGTGACGGCCAAAACGACCTATTTTGAAAGTCAAACAACTCCCCAAGCACGTAAACCCCTGATTTTATCGATTTTTTGTGGTATAGTCTATGAATTTTTGATGATCCAGAATTTTGATGTCTCTTTTGCCCAAATTTTTTGTGCATGTTCGTTAAGATGTTATCTAGGGAGTCACTTGGCCTTGACGGCCAAAACAATCTATTTTCAAGGTCAAACGAGCCCCACAGCAGGTAAACCCCTCATTTTACAAATTTTTGTGTGCTATAGTCCACAATATTTTTTGATGATCCAAAATTCCTACGTCTTTTTTTGCCCAAAGCTTTTGTTAACGTCCATTAAGATGTTAGCTATGGAGCAAGTTGGCCCTAAATGGCCAAAACGATCAATTTTGAAGGTCAAACGAGCCTCAAAGCAGGTAACCCCCCCCCCCCATTTGATCGATTTTTATGTATAGTCCATGAAATTTTGGTGATCCGAAATTCCGTCGTCTTTTTTGCCTAAATTTTTTGTGGATGTTCGTTAAGATTTTAACTATGGATCCAGTTGGACATGATGGCCAAAACGACTCATGTTCAAGATCAAACGAGCCCTGAAGTAGGTATATCCCATTTTACCTATTTTTATGCACTATAGTTCATGAATTTGGCGGCTGGAGCACCTAAAAAATTTTCTCTAAAAACTTTATGAGAATCTCTGTTATGAGTTGGGAACCTTTACGTATACTCACACTATTTTTTAACACCCATTTTCATTTTTGCAGGCCTTTTTAGAATATCCTAAATTTTTCAATTTTCTGTGTGTATTAGCCCATTGATTTGGCATTCTGAGCATCTGAAGTTTTTTTCTCAAAACAATTATGAGGACCTCCTTTATTAGTTAGGAAACCTTAAAGTACACTCACACCATTGTTTTAATAATTATTACCGCATTACAAGCCCTTTTTGAATAATCGTCCAAATTTCGCAATTTTTCGTGTGTATACCCATGGATCTGGCGCACGAAGCACACAAAATTTTTTCATCAAAAAATTTATGAGGACCTCCTTAATGAGTTGGGAAACATTCACATATACTCACCCCATTTTCTAACGCCCATTTTTGTATTTACAAACCTTTTTTTAAGAATAGACCAAATTTCCCTATTTTTCATGTGTAATCACTTTTTTCTCAAAACTTCGTTGGCCTATATCTCTCCTTAAACTCATTATAGCCAACTTATCGCACTTCTTCATTGGGGCATGCACCTGTGCATATTTTCTTCATATATCTGAATTATCTCAATCTCACTTTTCTCATCTTATTCTTCACGAAGGTCGGTCTCACTTTATTATGAATAACTTGCTAGTAAATAATTAATCTAATACGAATTTTAGAATCATGTCTAAGAACAGATTGTAAATAAAGCCTGATTTATAATCACTACTCTATGATATTTATGTAAAATATAGTGTTGATTAAGCAAATATGTACACACCTCAACTATTTCATTAGCTATTTGCCATCTTCGTGTAACTTTCTTCATCAAAGCTTAGATAAATGAAAAAGGGATTGCATAATAACTTATACACATTTCACAATATAATCTCTTATATACATTTCATAATATAATCTCTTATGCTCATTCACAATATAAATAGAAGAAAACGACTCTATCAAGATCTTACATGTTTTACTTCACATATTTTTTGTATGTATGATTACTAATCGCCTATGAAAAAAAGATTTTGCCAATTCAACGTCTTTTGCCTCTCTCTGTAGCCGTAGGACGAGGGCAGCACCTGAACGCGCCTTTCTGATATCAGTCATGATTTCTGTCTCCCTGCTGCCTCGAGCATCTTGTCCACTTGAATTCGAGCAACATCAAAGTCTGCAATCTTGATTGACTTGTCAGCACCAATCCGTAGATTGTCGGATTTTAGATCTCGATGAATAAAATTCAGACCATGCACATGCTCCACATCCAAGACCAGCTTAACGGCTAACTTCAATGGCACAACTTGGTTTTGCAGGAACTGACACACTGATCCCCCTCTTGTATATTCAGTCAAAATATACGACACCGTATAATATTTGGATGCTTTAAATTTGCCAAAATCGCGACCTAATGCTAAAATTGCTGATCCATAAAGTGAGCCTTCGCAAGATCAAACACAGTGCAGGACGAGATAACTGGCATGCACCTCGACTGATTCCGGGGGTTACCAGTCACTTTCCTCCACCAACATGTACCAAGCAACTCTTTACCAAGGCTAGGACAGATGGGAAGAAATCACCTAGTATTAAACTTTAATTAAAACACAGAATATTCATAAAAATGAACGATCAAAGGCAAAATCAAGGAAGAAAAAAGTAAAAATTAATTTACCTCGATTGTGATTATGACTCTACTTGTTTTCCGACGCCGATCAATTTTCAGACCACTGGAGATCTGACCAAAGATCGAAGTAAAAACTAAGAGAAGTAACATGAGAAAAAAAAGAACACATAGAGAGAGTAATGTATGAGTACGATTTACATGTGTGAGTACGAGTTTATATAGGGACTACTTGTATTAGAATTGTTCGATAAATTTCATTTTGACCCTTGAATTATGGTTTATTTCAATTGAACATCCAAACACATGAAATTGTGTTTTTACTATATACTTTTAGTTCAAATTTTAAAAGAAAAAGAATTACTTTGTCAGGCAATAATAATTATTATAAATGTTCTTAATTATTTATAAGCTTAGTAAACATCAAAGAAAATACATGTGCCTGAGATTTTTCCTTTATTTTAACTCTAGTTAATCAGGCAATAAGTTCACACTACAAATGAGAATTATGAGTGTAGATAAAAGTCATACTACAAATGTGAATGTATTTGGTTAGATTTAATGATTTTTCCACTTTTGATTTCAGGAATATAATCATAATTACCACAATAAAGCTAGTTTTAATAATCCAATTTGAATAAAAGATAGTAGTAACAAATAAGAAGAGGCATGAGATGAATTTTGTGGTTTTACAACTCAAATATTGCAAGCAAGAATTAATGAATTTTTCCACTTGAATTTATGGAAAATAATAATAAATACGAAAGAAAAAAAAGGCAAATTTGGTGGTTGGACGAATCAAATATCGTATGTGATATTTGATGAATTTTTCACTTTCAATGTAAGGAAAACACTAATAAATAAGATCAACAAGGCAAATTTAGAGGATGGACAAATCCAATATCTTAAGCTATATTTAATGAAATTTTTCCACTTTTGAGTTTTAGTAATTACTACTAAATAAGAAGAGAAAAACAAAATAAAATTAGTGATTGGACGAATCACGGTTATATTTAAATTGAAACACTTCCCCTTCACTAAAAACTTATATCACACCACCCGCCTTGTTTCTCAAACTCATGATTAGAAGTGTATTTCATATATCATACTTCTAAATATTCACAAGGAAAGTCTACCCTTTTCTTTTGTCATGTATAGCTCAAGGTGTAGAATAATTCGAAATGCCATTAAAGAATCAACCACGCACGATCCCAAAGTAATTACAGTCTAAATGGAAAGCCTCTTAACCATGGCAACTCTAACTTAGTATTCATAGGCTTAGCATAATCAGACTATAACCTACCATAGACCCCTTTGTTATCCTTAGTTGGAACTGGTAATAACATCATTAATAAAATTTCAACTGAAAAATAAGGAGAATTCACCAATTTCAAGTCCTCATAAACAGATTACAAGTACAGAAGATAGAACCACATCGCCAACTAAGAATTTAGATTAAAAAATGGAACTCTAAAACAAGCCTAGGGACGCATAATTTTAGCTGCTTAATTACTATTCATTGAAACAAACAATCATTTTATAGTATTGTTGCGAGTGAACAAGCTCATAATTTAGAACAGTTGAAATCAGACACCAAAATAATATCAACAACAACATTCCCACGAAAAAACAAAAACAAATTTTTAACCAACTTCATGTACCAACAAACAGACAAGAATTACAAAATGAAATGAATCTCTACAATGAGTCTATATGTTTAATTTTAGGTGCTTTTTTGATTTGCATTGAAACAAACAACTATGGTGAAGCCAATTGCAAGTTAGCAAGCTCATAATTAAAGTTTCTCAGAGAATAAAAGATCAAAATAACATAGTCAGCAAACTGACGAGAAAAACGATTTAATAACAACTATGCGTGTGTGTGTGTGTGTGTGTGTGTGTGTGTGTATATATATATATATATATATAGAGAGAGAGAGAGAGAG